TCTTTCTAAAAAATTCTCCCATTACATAGACTAATCCATAATTCACTTTCCTCCCTTTCTCGGACCATTACCACTTGTAGACATCAACTTGATGCTTGCTTTTGGTCGTTCAAATTCTCCCCCTTTGGCATCAAACACTAAAAAGGAAGACATTAGTAGCACAAGGGAGGGTCAAATTTCATGATCCTTTGTGTATAGAGAGAAATGGATCACAAAATTTGACTCTCGCATTATATAGACTAAGCTCCCCCTAAATATATGCATACATATGGTAGAAAGCAAAACATATGTATAATTAGCAATTTGTTGCACAAGAGAGTTTAATCTATATAATGCATGGAGAAAGCATATAAATATAAAATAAAATCAACATGATGATGCCAATTGAAGAACGATGCTTCTCTTCGGGGACTCCATTTTCCTTGCAATGAGACTACTACACACATGATAAACTTGAAAAAGGTGTTAGTCTCAAAGCGTCCATCTTGTAGATGATCCTCCCCCTAAATTTGTTCATGGAGACATGGAATACTTGTAGTACTCATGCACAATTGATTTTGGAGTCAAAATACCACTTGAAAGATGATATTTGGGAGAAAATTATCTACAATTTGGATTTTGGCACATATTAGATAAACAATAGTAAGACAAGCTATGTGACATGCTCCTAAGCAATTTTAAACCATGTAGATTTGCTCCAAGGGTTACAAATGAGACCGAGCAAGCCTACCATATGAAATACCTAGTGTATGCATGACAAAAGATATAAGCATGCAAATGCAACCCTAGGCATGAGGAGTAACTAGATGTTTAAAGATACCAATTGTAGGAAAATCTAATTGAAAGATGTACCAATTAAAAAGTAATAACATCTAGTTACCTAACATGGGAAGGGGAATTTAGGTCCATAGTATCCACTAACCCACTTGGCAATGACTTTGTCCAACATGATGCACCCCATGAAATGCACCCATACTTTGCCAAGACTCCAAATTCCCCGAAGACCGACGGACTTCTTACTTCTCTTTCGGGATCTAAACCTTCTTGGTGCTCTTCATGTTGGAAATGATTTTCTTTGGCACCCAAAAGCGTTTGACCCCATTGTTTGCTTGCTTGTTCACCTTGATGACCACCACCTTGTCATTTTTCTTCTTCTTCAAGAGATAAGGTGTGGAGGCCTTCTTGTCCACCTTGTTGGTGTAGGTGTTGGAGAGCTTGCTTGTTTGCTTTTTCTCCTTCTTCTTTGCTCCTCCCCCATTCTTCACCTTGCACTCATAGGACTTGTGGCCTTCTTTGTGGCACACGTAGCAAACCACGGTTTGTCCTTCATCAAGCTTCTTCACTCCCTTGACGGTGTTATCTTGATAAAGTTGGGTTTGCTTCGCCTTGCCTTTCATTTGAGTCAAGTCCTTGGTGAGGCGAGCTACTTCTTGCTTGAGTTGCTCATTCTCTTTTGCAACCTCTTGTGTGCATGTATCTACAATCACTTTCTTAACACAAGCTTGGTTGCACAAAGGTGAGTCTAAACATAAATCATTGCAAGAGGTAGATGCATCCTTTTTAATTATGTCATTTCTTTTAGATGCCTTGGTGGGGGTATTTTTTACGGCCTCAAGATTAGCAACTTGATTTGTTAGCTCATCACAATGTTTGCACATGACTTCCATTTTAGCAAGCAAACTTTGATAATCATTTTGTGAGCTAGCTAACTTTTCTTTTAATTTTTCATTTTTTTTTCAAGTTGCTTATCATTAATTGTGCATGCCCTTGTTGTTGCACTAGCCTCAAGTTGCTCAATTTTAGTAGATAGTTCAACATTGAGATTTGCAAAGTTTTCATATTGTTCAAGCAAATTCTTGTATGCTTCTTGTGAACTACCTAGTTCTTCTTTTAAAGTTTTGAGCTTCTTTTGTTGACTAGTGCAAACTTTAGCATATTTAAGATTTTGTTGCACAATTGTATTGTAAGAAGGCAAATCATCATCACTATCACTCTCACTAGAGGATGAGCTTTTGTTACCTCGTGCCATAAGGCACACACGAGAAGAGCTTGATGATGAGCGCTTGTGACCTCGCCTCTTGTGATGGTTTTCTTCTTCACTTGAAGAATCATCCCATGACCTTATTGTTGTGAGGTCTTTGTTTTTGCACGCCTTCTTCTTTGTCTTGGGTGTGGGCTTGTTTGGACAAACTTCCACAAAGTGCCCCATCTCGCCGCATCCGTAGCATCCTTTCTTTCTTTGCTCATTTCTTTGATTGGTGAAAATGAGATCTTGAATTTGGATGGGCACACCCTTGACATTGAGCCTTTGGATCATCTTCTCCACCTTGTTGATTAATTTGATTGATTCTTCATCAAGGTCGGAGGTGGAGGAGGAAGATTGATCATCATCACTTGATTCTTGTTCATCATCATCATCCTCATCATCTTCTTCTTCTTCACTTGAGGAGCTTGAGCTTGAGCTTGACTCAACTTTTTTGCCCTTCATCTTTTTCTTTTCGCTACAAGCGAGAGCTTTGCCTTTGCTTGATGAATATGCTTCTCCTTGACCCATCTTACATGACATTTCAAATGCCACTAGCTTGCCAATGACAATGCCCGGGGTCATGGTGCTCAAGTTCTCTATGTTGTGAAGGATGGTGATGATGCTTGCATATTTCTTTTGTGGTAGAACGGAGATGATCTTCCTCACGATGCCCGCATCATCTAGCTTTAATAATCCTATTGAATGGAGCTCATTGATAATTAGATTCAATCGAGAATACATATCACGAACAAGCTCATCATCATTCATAGCAAAGGAATCATAATTTTGCTTAGCTAGACAATGTTTTTACTCACGGACATTACTTGTACCGTCATGGAGCTCTTGAAGTTTTAACCAAATTTCATGTGCCGTATTTAAGGTGAACACTTGGTTAAACACATCCATGCTAAATGATTCAAACAAGCAATTCTTAGCTCTAGCATTAAAATGCATTTCTTTTTCATCACTCTTTGTGGGTTTTTCGGGATTCTTGATGGGTTTCATCCCGTCACGAGTGACTCTCCATACACCCAAATCAACCGCCTCAAGATGGCAAGCCATTCTAGCTTTATAGTATGGGAAGTTAGTGCCGTCAAATTGTGGAGGCCTAGCGGTATCCATCCCAACCACTCTACAATAGCGTCGGCTCAACGGTGGTTAAGCCAAAGGTCCAAATATGAGCCAACCGGCTCTGATACCAATTGAAGGACACGTGGACGCCTAAGAGGGGGGGGGGGTGAATTAGGCAACTTAAAAATCTAACTCTAAACTATGGCCTCTTTTTCTACCTCTAGCAAAACCTATGCAAAAGATAATCTATCTAGATATTCAACTACGGTTTTGCTAGTGTGTTGCTATCTCTACCGCAAATGATAATAATATGATCAATGTAAATGCAGAAGCTTAAAGAGCAAGGTAGAGATATGCAAACTCCCGTCGACGACTCCGGTATTTTTACCGAGGAATCGAGAAGCGCGCAAGCTTCCCCCTAGTCCTCGTTGGAGCCCCTCGCAAGGAATCCCTCGCAAGGGTCAAGCTCCCGGTCGGGTAACTCCGTGGATGACCTCGGGCCTTCCCCACGCGCAAGTGGGTCTCCGATGTGCCTTCCGCAAGCCTCTCCGGATGCTCCCCGCCGTCTTCACAATCAAGCTTTGGCAGAAACGCCATGGGCCTTGTTCCCTTCGCAGACTGCGGTGGCGGCCGCACCATAAACGCGGTTGGTGCGATCTCGCAAGACTTCAAGCCCTCCGATGTACAACTCTTGTGCTCGCAAGCACGGGGTGGTAAGAGGTATGCAAACCTCACTAAACACTAGGCATACACCTAGAGCAAGCGATAAGCGGTGGTCTAATCAACCTAAGCGCCGCAGAAAGCACCTACGCTAATCACCGATGAAACACTAAGCACTTAGCAAGTGAAGATCACTAAAATGGTGTATCAACACCCTTGGTATGTTTCCTCGGCTCCACACTTCTCAAATGGCGGTTGGGGTTGTATTTATAAGCCCCATCGAGAAAGTAGCCGTTGGGGTCGAACTCCCGCAAATGCGCATCGACCGGACGCTGAATCGTCCGACCAGACGCGCGTCTGGTCGTCCCGACCCGTTAAGCCGCGAACCACCGATCGGACGATTGCCGCGTCGATCGCTTTCGCCATCGGACGCGTCGGTCATAGATTTCACGCTACTGGAACCTCTGTAGACTCGATCGGACGCTGTGTTTCTGCGTCCGGTCGGTTGCCGCCAGCGTCCGGTCCTTGCGTCCGGCCGCCTGTCTGCCGAGCCACCGGTCCAGCGTCCGATCGCGCTTCCAGCGTCCGGTCACCTCTGCGAGCTCGTTTCTTCGTGATCTTGCGCACGGCTTGGTTCCTATCTTCATGCTTGGATTTTGCTTGACATCTTGGGTCTTTTCTTGTGCTTCTAAGGTCTTGCTTGAGGTGTTGATCATCAGATCATCACGTCGCCTTCGTCCAAGTCACGTCTTGCACCCTATTGGACTACAAAACAAACACTTGCAAATTCATTAGTCCAATTTGGTTGTGTTGGTCATCAAACACCAAAATCCAAAGTAAATGGGCCAAGGGTCCATTTTCCTTACATGAGGGATCACTATTGGTTGGTAATACAACCCAACTGTGATACCTATGACTGCCAGGTTGTATTAATTATTTATCACTACCGAGACTTTACAATTGGATAATAATATTCTTTTTGCTTACCAACCAACATTTGATACCCCGATTTCAACTTTGTTCTCTGAAAAGAGCAAAATGAGCCGTAGAGTGAACTCGAATCAGTACCCATTTTGGTACTCACTAAAAGAAAACGTTATATCATGAAAAAGAGTGCAAAATTTACAAGTTGGACGCTGCTCTATTTAGCCAGTCCAGAAGGCCTTCGGTGGCAACTGCAAATCTAGAGTGTTGCTCTCCAACATTTCAAGGACTTTGCTCATGGATGGCCGATCTATAGGTCTTAACTGGATACACCACAGGCCAACATGGCCATCTTCCTCACAAGTTCTTTGGTGTCACTTCCGATCTCAGAGATGGTGGCGCCACAGAACTGATCCAATTTGTCGTACAACCAATGTGGAAAATAGTTGCTGCTAGTGTCTATGCCAACATCAATTTGTTTCCTTGCCCCGACCATCTCGAGAACCATCATACCATAACTATACACATCTGACTTGTTGCTCACTGCTCCATAGCTTCTGTTGAACACTTCAGGAGCTATGTAGCCTATTGTGCCTCTCATCCCGACCATGGAGATTTTGCTCTGCTTTTGTTGGCACAACTTTGCTAACCCAAAATCTGAGATCTTTGGACAGAAGTTCTGATCCAAAAGGATATTTTGAGGTTTGATGTCAAAATGCACAATGCGGGTGTTGCAGCCATTGTGGAGATACTCCAAACCTCGCCCGATTCTGATAACAATCTCAAAAGGTTTATCCCAACATAGACTGTTGTCTCCTTCGGCAGACATACTTCCAAATGTATATCTCTCAAGCAAACCATTGGGCATGTACTCATAGATTAGAGCTCTTTTTCTCCCTTGCAGGCAAAATCCTAAGAGAGTAACAATGTTGACATGAGATGTTCTGCTGATGCTAGCCACTTCATTCATGAAGTCCTCCCCATCACCCTCGGTATCTGTCGATACGGGACCCATGGGGTTTCCCACAGAGAAGAGAGAAGAAGACCTAGTCCAACTAGGATTCCCTACATGTAATCCTACTAGAACTAGTTACACATAATCCTACTAGGATCTCTACTTTGTAACCGACTAGGACTCCCGCCTCTCCTAGACTATATAAAGGAGGGCAGTGGTCCCTAGATCGGGAGCTAACACACACACATGGGCGACAGACATAACCGACAGAACTCACAACCACAACAAATAGCGCAGGGCGCAATATACTATCCACCCCACACTGGACGTAGGGCGCCGTGATTTTCCGGCGTACCGAACCAGTATAAATTGTTGTCTCCCTGCGTTTACCATCGAGTTCCTGCAAACGCCGATACCCCTCCGAACAAATCACCGTCCCGGGTACTCCCGTGGCGGGTTGCCGGTGGTAAAACATCGACAGTATCCTTCAGTGTCTTGACAGCTATCTCACGGCCATCAGCCAGGTTGCCTCTGTAGACAGCTCCATATCCACCTTGGCCAAGCTTGTGAGCAAAAGATTTGGTCATTCTTCTCACATCTTGATAACTGTACCTTTTAGGGTGTGATGTTCCTTGTTTTTGCAGGAAAGATTCAATCCTTGGAGCATTCCTTGACCAATTTTGCCGTGGCAGCATGCCGTAATATTTCTTGTACCAGAGGAAGAACAAGGCAAGGATTACGCCTGCCCCCGATACGGAGGTGCCAGCAATAACACCTGTCGATGAATGGAAATGCATATACCTAAATGTTAGATAATATATAAAGCAACTAAAAATATATCAAAGATGCTTCTAAATGTTCAATGCTGAGACTTCACATTTGAGCAGAGTGATACTTTAGAGATGTTTGCCCAACATAGGTAGATAGTTAGGACTTATCCATTAAGATTCAAGGGGAACATTATTCTGATCTTAGTATTTACTCTGGGAGGCTACAGAGCGAGCCTGTACATTCACTCGAATCAATATCTAGGTTCCGCAACAAATTTTCGGTTTCCTTCTAAACAAGTAGTGAAGTACTAGCTAGTATGTCTTATTCAAGTCTATGCGCAACTTAGCTTGCACCATATCTCACACATTTACGCCCCTGTAAATTGATGTTAGAGTATTAAGAAATATAGAGATGTATGGACCACACAAACATGGACTAGCTATAGGTCCGGCTGAGTACAAGTGTACAACACATGAACGAAATGATGTCTTCTTCCTCCCTAGCTTCGACATCACATCTAGGCATGCAAATCTAATTGGATCAACCCAATGACCCACTACCCGAAACATAAAGTTTGGTGTAAATACTAAATACCCACTGAGCCGACCCACTAATTTTTGGTGCTTGTCTCCAACCAACGACATGTCTTCCATCTGTGCTCCTCTCTTCTTCGTGACGCCTTTCTCTTCTTCCATCGCCAATGAGTACTCTAGCGGGGCGGGCAGCCTCAAATCCCACCCCGCTTGGCGTGCTTGGGCGAGCTCCGCCCAAACATGTGGGCGGGTGAGCGAATTCGATCCCGGTGGGGTGGCCACGGTAGTGCACGAGCTCTGCCTCGGCGTGAGCGTGCGAGGAGGGCAGTTGTGGTTGAGGCTGGGGTCGGTAGGGGGCTATAACGAACGTGCCGAAAAAGGGCGGTAGAAGACCTAGTGGTTGGGGGTGGGCATGGTGGCATATGGGGCACCTAGGGTTAGGGACGGTGGTGGACGAGGGGGGGGGGGTGTGGCAGAAGGGGCGGCTAGGGTCGTGGGCGGTGGTAGACTAGGTTGGGTCATTGTGGAGTAGAAGGGAAGAAGTTGATCAGAACATGATGTACGTGTGGGTCCCACTTATTGGGTGTCCAATGAATCTCAAATGATGATGACTCGTCCGCGCCTCTATATCTCCTACTAAACACATAATAAAGATGACTCGCATATGACTATGATATATGAGATAGAATTGTCAAAGAGGGAGTGAGAGATTTATATCTTACTTATGATGACTTTCTTGATTTTCCTTCGACCCGTGCTCCGTGGGATTATTCCATTATAGTAGCCATCTGGATATATACATATATAGAAAAATAAAACAGTGAGCTGATAATTGCTCGTATGTGCACCCCTTGCTAACGCGGCTTCGATGGAGTTGGAGCCGTGCAGTTGGGCCTTCTCTTGAAAAAACAATCCAAACAAATTCCTACCCAACCCAATGCCACACAACAAAAGTATAGAAGTATAGAGGCTCGAAGACGACAGATGTCACCTTTGAGAGGGATATATAGGCGACGTCTCCCTCCTTGATGATGCTGTCCGCGCGGGGGTTATACCTCCTGAACAGGTCTACTTCTGCCTGAGACGACAAGCCGTGGCTCGCCGCGACGGAGTCCGGCGTCTCCCCGTCACCCAGCAGCGGGTTGGTAAGCAACAGCTTGTAGTCCGGCGACACGTCCAAGTTCACCACCGTGCCGGCGTCAAGAACATCGTTCACGCTGCTGGGGGCGGGCTGCAGCAAGGTGGCCGTGGTGAGGTTGTGGAACTTGGCCGCGACGCTGGCGTAGCTTTCTCCGCCTTGCGAGACCCTGTAGGGGAAGGATCCGGCGAGGTAGGTGGAGAATGGCGCGGACGGGAGGGCGAGGCAGCGGCAGGAGAAGTAGACGTTTATGCGGCTGTCGTCTGCGAGTATGTAATCCAGGTTGGAGTACCCTGTGTTGTGTAGGGCGCGAGGGTGAGGTAGTCGTTGATGCCGAAGAGGCTCGAGATGTAACTCAGGTTCTGCCCCCGCGTGATGTAGTATGAGCCCAGCGCGAGGCAGTCGCGGCTGATACCGATACCGCAGTCGGCTCCGGCGCCGCCGTCCTCGCTGCCGCCGCGGCGAGGAGGAGCGATATGACAAGAGGCCGTGGCATACTCCGGTGGGGACTGAAAGATGATAAACCCACGCCGTAGGTGAGCAAGAAAGCGGCCGGAGAGAAGCTGCAGCTGGGATCTGCAGAGATAAGAAGAACTCAACGCACATGGGCACGCAAAGACACTGAAGAGATCTAGCAAGAAGAAGACGATCGAGTTGACCCTGAGTCTACGATCGGGAAAACTCGCGGGATCATGGGTCATGGCGCCGTCTGGTCTGATCAGGAAAATGTAGCTAGCTAGTCGATCGTGTAGTTCCTTATTATTATATTAGCCAGCTACACAAATACTACTCAGTCAAAAACGAGATGACGACGGTGCCTTCATCTTCGTTCAAACTCGGCGGCTAGCTACATCTAGTCATAAAAAGATAATCAACCATGCTTCGTGTATACTCCATTCGTCCTATAATATAGCGTATTCTTGAATATTCAAAATTTTTATCCAAATATATATAAGGGATTTTAGGGATAAGAGATAGTTTTGCAGTAAGTAATAGCACAAATTCGGTAGGTATTGTATCGTTTGTTGTCATACATCAATCGATCTTCATTAATTGGTTTGATGATAACGGTCTGATTGGAAAATAAAGTACGGATATCCGCATTCCCACTTCAACTTGTATTGTTGCTCTATTTTTGAAGGGTGGACCACAAAGCACGTTTAATATGATCCTGTTTAGATCCATTTTACTGCTAAACTTTAGTCCTTACTTGGGTGTTTGGATCCATGGCAAAAAAAAGGCTAAAAGTGTAAAATAAGGTGTCATTCACACCCCCAATGCTTTTAGCTCAGTTTTGTATCTCTTGAGGTGCAAATGGACTAAACTTTAGTCTCTCCTTTTACTCACTTTTAGCCTACCTGTTTAGATCTATTTGCCAAAAAAATAAGCTAAAAGTGCAAGACAAAAATTTTGCCATAGGAAATAAACAGGGCCTCGAAAATAACCTGACCTAAAGTAAGAGTATGGCCCCGTTGGGCACAGCTCAGCTTCACCATGGCCTTGTTTAGTTGACGATTTTTTTTTGAAAATGGTATTGTAGCACTTTCGTTGTTATTTGGTAATTAGTGTCCAATCATAGTCTAATTAGACTTAAAAGATTCGTCTCGTAAATTTCGTCTAAACTGTGTAATTAGTTTTATTTTTTATTTATATTTAATGCTTCATGCATGCGTCCAAAGATTCGATGTGACGGGAAATCTTGAAAAATTTTGCAAAATTTTGAGAACTAAACAGGCACCATATAAGCTGTTTTTTTGCAAAATAGCTTCATGAGCAACTTTTTGGTTGAAGTTGAGTTGCAAAAAATAAGTGTTTGGCAAAACAGCTTCACATCATCGAACAATGATAATGACTATAATATGAGAGATGAAGTTGGGATAAACTACTTTTTTCAGCTTCATCCCAACTCATATATTTGTGATGGGAGGAGAAAAACAACTTCATCCATAAAGCTATTTTAAAAATAAGTATTTGACAAAAAAAACAGCATACGAAGCTAATCCTATGTATAACTTCTTTTTGTCAAAAAATCACATCGTTTCTATCCAACCAAATAAACCACACACACTTCCTTTTGCGTTACCTACTAGAAAGGGTCCCATCGTTATTTTTACTTCGTTCCGGAAAATTCTGCTCCTGTAGTCGAGGTGGTCTCACATGAAAATTATCGCAAGTTGCAATGCTGATACGTATAGAGATTTGCTCCTCGAAAAAGGAGAGAGATGTTTGGACATGCGCTGGACTAGTGGCCGGTGGTCTCTTGTCCTAATTTGGCCGGTTGGCAGAGCCACCATCATCTTCAAACTAATTGCGCTTAAAGTTGTTTGATTTGATTTTGTTTTAATTAAATGTTTTCAAATGGCATCTGAAGTAATGAACCTTGCGATGTGCGAGCATCATCTGAGAATGTGCTGGACGCGAGACGCGACCTCCGCGACTTGGCGGCGCCTGCGCATGCATGACCTGGCGGACGCAGGCGAATCGTATCATGAGGGTCAAATTCGTTTTTTTTTTGTTTATTAATTATGTAACTTTAAAAAATGGAGTCTAATTAAGGGATTCTTCCGCAAACTATATACCTATTATATTATGATGAATGTATACATATTCTCTCTCTCCTGAATTATGGAGTATCTAATTAAAAGTAATGTTAGGATTACTAAATAAGTTAGATAGGCATAGTTTTAAAAGGCAATTATATATGCATGTCATTGATTTTGTCAGCATGAGTTATTTTGGGCAAGACGATGCTTAAAAGGTATGGGTACATGCATGCATCTATGTGATTTAAAAGACAACCACACATTGAGAGGGTTAAAAGCAATCCAAATTGTTTTGGAGAGCACGTTTAGAAATCCAAATTCCATCAACTCTTGGAGGAGCTCTGAATATTCGTACTAATTACTATATAATGTCGCCATGTGAGTACGTGACTGATGACTGACGACATATCATGCATGGCACTTGACACTCACGCTATCAGTCAACTGTCCCTCCGAAGCTCAACAAAAAAGGTCCAGTTGCAAATATAAAACAAAGAACAGCTGCACCTGCAGTTTGCTGACGAAAGGTTATTACAACGGTTGTACATGTTATTACTCACTATTGCTTTTGTAGTAGTGATATACTTGTGAACACAACACAGAGCCATGTGATGGGTGATGGATTAATTGATATATAATTAACCTAACATGTTGCTGAGGCGATGGACGTTAACTACCAGATGCTATCACTACGATACGGTACGACGGGTGCAGTGCATCTCAGCCATGCATATAGGACTACTCGTGCATGAAAATGATTGGATTCGCATCACACGGCGGACTCCAAGGTCGCCGGCGACGGCAGCAGCGGCTGCTTCAGGCAGGAGGCGGCCGCGTCGGGCTCGTCGTCGCAGACGCCGGCGGCGCCGGCGGCTTGCTTTGCAGCGAGCGCCCTCTCCTCGCTCTTGACCCAGAGCACCAGGTAGAGTCCAGCGATGATGAGCACTGCCCCCATGATCCTGCAAAGGATTCGAGAAACGAATCATGCAAACATTTTTCTTCTTCTTTTAATTATATCGATGGAGGGAGAATCGAAGAAGAAAGAAAGATATCGATCGATCGGGTACGTTACGTACCCTCCGAGGTAGAATTGCTCGCCGAGGAGCAGCGACGCCATGATGGCGACGAGGAGCGTCTGCACGGGCTGGTACACGGCCACGAACACCGGCCCGCCGCGGTCGATGCACCACGTCTGCACCGCGAAGGCCACGCCGGACGCCACCAGCCCCTGTTCCAAGTGCCATATGCATGTCGTGTCATGTCACCTTCGATTCTTGCCATGCCATATGATCACCGCGTGCTACTCGAACTCACCGCGTAGAGGATGGTGAGCAGCTCGGAGCCGGAGGTAAGCGTCCACGCGGCGGCGTCGCGCTCGACGACGGCGGCGATGGCGAGGAACTGGAGGAGGCCGAAGAAGCAGGTGTAGGAGGTGACGGACAGACGCGCCGGGTAGCGCTTGAGCACGGGCGCCTGCAGCACCAGCCAGCTGGACCACGACAGGCAGTGGCCCATGAGGTAGACGCACCCCAGCGCCCAGCTCTTGCTGCTGTTGTTGCCGGCTGCCTGCGGCGGCGCGACGGCGGTCACGGTCACCACGGCCGCCGCCGGGCCGAAGACGGCGGGGCCCTTGAAGAGCGTGATGACGGTGGCGCCCGCGACGCAGAGCAGCGTGCCGGCCGCCTTGGCGAGGCCGTCGCGGCGGCGGAGGCGGACGCGCTCGATGCCCAGCGCGGCCGCCATCGCGAAGGTGATGGCGGGGACCGAGTTCTGGATCGCCGAGGCGAACGTGGGCGACGTGTTGTCAAGCCCCAGCAGGTAGAAGCTCTGGTTGGTGGTGATCCCGCACAGCGCCAGCAGGAAGAACTGGAGCAGGAAGCCGGGCGTCATGGCGGGCCTGTCCTTCCTCTCCAGGAAGTAGGCGAAGGGGGCGAGGAGGCAGAGCGCGATGAGGTTGCGGTAGACGGGGAAGACGAGCTTGCTGACGCCCATGTTGAGCGCCAGCCGCGACACCACGTGGAAGCCGGCGTACCCGAGCTGCAGCGCCAGCATCGCCACGTGCAGCCGCGCGCGCTCCGTCTTCGCCGCCGCCGGCACGCCGCCGCCGGTCGTCGCGGCGCCGCCGCCGTGCAGGCCACGCACGTCGTCGCCCATGATCGATCGATCGCCTACCTGGCCACGTGCTACAGCTAGGTGTCGTTGACACCACCACACCTGTAGGCTGCAGCTTCTGCAAGTAGCGATGGAGAGACAGGACCGAGCACAGCACAAGTGTGTCAAGTGTGCAGCTGCTGCAAGATGGATGGATGGTGCTGCAGGTGCAGGTCCGTATATATATTGGTAGGGAAGGAGCTGAGATGCGTGGTTGCAGCGGAAGCGACAGGTGGTGACCTGTGGACCTGTGGGTGTGCGTGCTCCATGGCTGCAGGGGGAAGGAGAGCTAGATGTCATGTCGCAGTGTGCTTGGACATGACCTGCTGTCGCAGACATGCATGTCGGTCGCCTCTCCCACTGGCCACGACGTCTGAGGATCAGCTCAGCTGCTGCCTGCAACTGCAGCTGGCCTGATCCTGCTCGCGCTGTGCTCTGCTCTGCTTCTGCTCCCTCGCTCAGGTCAGAGAAGAGATCGGGTTGGTGGTCTGGCTCAGGCTGGCTGGTTGTTCAGTACTGGGGGCACGGGGCACCCATGACCTTGGTACTGCCCGTGTGCACCGTGGCGGGGCCACCCTGCAGGCTCCCATGGAAACAAGCCAGCACCTACAAATACTCAGGCATCCACCATTTTTGTTGGTGCATTTGCCTTTCAGGGCCTGTTCGCTTGAATTTGGATGGTTTTTGGAGGAATTTGTGAGAGAAAAACATTATTCCGGATGAAAAAAGAAGCGGATCAAGCCGGGTTTAAGGGCACGCGAACGGGGCTGTGTTTTCTTGCACCCTGCCACCAAAGATCATGAGCCTGACGGCCATCAACTCACTTTTGCTGCCATTTTGGTGGCCCTTCTTCTTCGGTACTACTCCTGCTATACCACATTCTCTGGTTAGTTACCCTGTCACAGTAGGCAACAAGCTTACTTTACTTAGGTCTCTCCACCTATGACCTGCTAGTACATGCTAACGTGTTCATCAAAATTCCTAGCACCAGTTCTTGCAGATCTAGGCAGTGTAACTATCCCTTGGTATACTTAGCGTGCCTGGTCACTATGTGTGTGTTAGACAAAAAAAACTAGAGAGTGTGTATATAAAATTCAGGTATGGAATTGATCCAGCTTCCTGTGCTTTTGTCCCTCCTGGCTGCTCACATTCTTGGTTCTTGCATCTCAAACTCTAACTAGCTGGAGATGCATCCCTTCTGGTGGTCCTACACGATTCTCTTGCTTGCTGCACGCCTCACTTGTCTATCACATCATATCATGCAGTGCCACCTCAAAAGCTTCAGGGAGGGGAGGAGAGGAGAGATTAGAGAACCCTAGCCCCCTTCCCATGTGAGCCAGCCAGCAGAGTAAGTAATCCTGCACTGCCTGTGGTTGGTTAGTTGGTGAATGAGATCGATCTGTGGTGATCCCAAGAAGTCTCAACTTTTCAGCAGTGTGTCTCCTTTAAAAAACTTCCGAATGCGCGAATGCGAGAGGGACACAGTGTTGGCAAACAGCAATGCAAATCTAAGGACCACTCCTTTTTCCATGTAAATTATATATATATGCAGCTCAAAACTAACCAGCAGAAATGCATGTGAGCTCCAGTCAGTGAGCGTGCGGATCAGACAGCAAATCGCCAAGAGGGCTAGACAGCAAATTGCCAACAGTAATTCAGACACTAGTATATTTTTTTAATAAAAAATACTATTTGTCTTTCTGGATCAAAGGGTGTATACATGAGATGCTTTACAAGAGCAGCAGACAAGGTTTCCAACATTGTCCCTTTGTATTGGACTTCTCATCAACAGCATGGATGAGTGGGACTTTCCGACTTTAGTTACATACATTGCAGGGCCAACGTTATTAGTATCAGGGAGGGTTAATCAATGGAAATAACAAGCTTCAATTCAGTGATCGACACGCTCCTTGGAATGACACCTCAGACTACCTAGTAATTAAGCAATTCCCTTCACGTTCATGCCGATCACATCGCCGCCTTCAAAACCATCGTTTCGGGGAGCGATTCCTTCAGTTTCCCTTGGGTGAATCTCCTCAGCATCTCCAGGGAAGCTTTCGGCTGGTCCATTGGAACCATGTGACCCGCATTGTGAACCTGCATTTGCATTTACGGAGGAAACATATACTTGTGAGTTTATTTTGTTTTCGGTCTTCGCATATATATACCTAAAACTTGCTGTTGGATGTTATCGATCCGCAGGTGTGGAAGGGTTCTAAAGCACTAAACAGCCAGCCAGGTTGAGCGGTCCCTTTTCATGTTAGTATGCAGTTATGAAAAGATATTACTACGTTATCTTGGCACATTTTGTGAAGTATGCCTACGTTTAGCGTAACCACTCTTAATTTTGCCAGCATGAAACATCTCCTTTTGGGGAAAGAACCGGGTACTAGGAAACAAGGTAAAGTGAAAAGAGTGCTAGATCACAACCTTAAGGAAGCTGAGTGGTCCGTGGCTTTTCAGAACTCCAGCTTCGGCACCGTCTACAACAAACGATAAGTCAGAAGAGGATACAAAGTTTTTCTGGCCAGACCATTCCATGGAGTGTACCCATCTCGAGTTTCCTGCCCAAACACAAAGACATTCAAAATTGTATACTTGGTGCCTTAACTGCAAAACCATTAAAGAATCTGATGATGCACAATTGCACATGCAAGAGAATTAACGATAGAGGGTTACTTTTAAGTAGGATACTTGTTACATCAATATTGAATTATTGATAAAGGTCTTCCATATCTGAAAGTTTGCAACTTGCAGCTGAAATGACATGTTAGCATTTTGTACTTTTTTCGAAGGGAAGATGTCTTTTCAGTTTCCAAAGACAGAACAACAAGACAAAAAGTGCTACAATAATGTTGTTTTTGTCCCCTCTACTTCAGAAAGGACTATTTAGTAACAAATATTTCATAGAGAAACATTTTTTTCTTTTACGAATTGACAGGCAAACCAATTTGATAACAAGTTTGCATTATTTGCAAACATGACCATTGTTGGGCTGTCTATAGTTTCCCATGGGCCTAGAGCCCACTATGTATGTTGGTGTATATGTATATTATTATGTGAAAAAGGAAAGACAGAGAGAGTTCTAGAGTTCCCAAAAGCTTCGTTGTTCTACATGGTGTCGGAGCCTGGCTGGGCGACGTCGGCGGCGACCGTCGCAGCGACTACGGCATGGTGAGACCATGCAAGCAGGCAAGAAAGGGCTCCTGCAGCACTGCTCGTGGGAACGGTGTGTGCGTGAGCAGGCAAAGAAGGGCCGTGGCGGAGCTAATTGGAATTGGCGAGGGGAGCTTCCAAATCGAGCGGTGGTGCTGCAAGCAGGAAGACATTGGTGAGTATTAGGAGCAACTCCTGCAGTTCGAGGTGGAGTAGGCTGCTGAGCAGTGAAGAAAGAGCAGCCACAAGTCTGATTTTCGAGTGTTCTGCTTCTGGGGAAGTTGGCCACGGCGGACGGTCGATCTGCAGGCAGCAGTCCTCAACGGCAGAAAGGCGCAACACAGGCTTGCTTGCTCTGCATCAGGAAGCAGGGAAGCTCGAGCTTCCATCAGGAAGAAGGGAAGCTCGAGCTGTGGATTGAAGGGAGAGAGAGAGTGGTGTTTCTGGTGGTGGCTTGCTTGCTCGAGAGTAGACAGGGAGTCACTACGGTTGGGTACTGATTGGGAGTGGTAAGGAGGAGGATTGGAGCAGGGACTGAAGAAAGGCGCTGGTTTTGCTAATAGGAGAGAAATTTGGTGGCAGTTTACTGCTTGGCAGTGGCAGGACTGCAATCGAAGGTAATCTTGGGTGGATTTGGTGCTTCCTTCTGATTTGGGAAAATAGAGGAGAGCACCGTGAGGGAGAAATTGTTGTCGTCCTATGAGGGAGCACCTCTGTGGATTTGATATTTCAGCAGCTGTGTTGGAGCATACTGTAGTTGTGCTGCTGCTAGCTAGTGGAGGTTTGAGTGCTTGAGGAAGAGGAGGTGCAGTGTGGTGATGCTCAAATTGAGTCCATACTGTACAAGATTTATGAGAGGTTGAAGGAGAAAAGAAAGGGGATCGGATTTGCTAGCTGGTGGAAGAGGTTAGAGAGAAGTTGCAGCTTGTGCTAAGCCACTGATTTACTGAGGGAACAAATTGATACTGCAACTACTGCGTAGAGTGATAGCAGCAACTAAGCAATGGCAGAAAGTGGAAGGATTGAGCAGATGTTTGAGAAGTTGGCTGAAATCCTCACCGCTAAGGAACTTGTGAAGCTGGCTCAATTATTTTTGGCGAGGACTTCTGAACTAATGTCAGGTACAGAAGAGTCAAATGGGAAGGAGAAGATGGAACAATTGCAAGGAAGCTCAAGGGGGAGCGAGTTTCCAAAGGAAAATAAAAAGGCGACTATGCTCGGCAATCTCATCAATCTCGCTCGTCCTGACAAAGGTACATCTTATGCAAATTGGATACTTGATTCAGGTGCATCTAGGCATGTCACGGGTGCATCTAGTGAGTTTGAATCATATAATGCATATCCATCCACACATAGTGAGACTATTCAAACAGCTGATGGAACATGCCAACCTATTAAAGGTGTTGGTTTAGTAAAATGCTCTCCATCAATTACACTGTCATCGGTTTTGCATGTCCCCTCCTTTCCAGTTAACCTACTATCATTAAATGCTTTAGTTGATCAAATGGACTGTCGGGTTTCTTTTGATCGGGAAAATTGCATCATTGAGGACAAGAAGACAGGAAAAGAACTTGGAATTGGCATCAGGTATGGTGGGCTATGGTTCCTAGACCAAAAGAAAGATGACAAGTTCTTGGGCGCTGCACTAACAGCAAGTATGAATGATGATGAAGCTAAAGTGATGCTCCAACATTGTCGATTAGGCCATTTATCATTTGATACTATGGTAAAAGTGTTCCCAGAGATGATGAGGAAGGTGGACAGGAGAAAGCTTGTGTGTGATGCATGTGAATATGGAAAGCATACGAGATCAACATATGTAAGAAGGGGTCTAAGGAGCTTATCTCCATTTATGCTTATTCACTCTGATGTGTTACCTCTATTAGTGAATGAACATGACCTTTATTGATTGTTATTCACGTATGACCTGATATATCTCTAGTGAAGTACTTCAAATGAAGCTCACTTGTTGGGAATCAATATGATGCCCTGTTACCTCTATTAGTGGAATGAAGTACTTTGTGACCTTTATTGATTGTTATTCACGTATGACCTGGATATATCTCATGAAACACAAGAGTGAAGTACTTCAATGCTTTCGGAATTTTTGCTCACTTGTTGGGAATCAATATGATGCTCGAGTTAAGGTGTTGAGGACAGACAATGGAACAGAGTATGTGAACAATGAGTTTGGCAATTTTCTATCAGCTCATGGAATATTGCACCAGACAACATGTCCTGATACACCTCCACAAAATGGAGTAGCTGAAAGGAAAAATTGTCATATCTTGGAGATTGCACGTTCACTTGTGTATACTATGAATGTGCCTAAGTTTCTATGGAGTGAGGCCGTGATGACAGCCGTATATTTGATTAATTGTACACCTTCTAGATTGCTTGGATGGAAAACTCCTTATGAGATGTTACAAGGAGTGAATGTGTTTACTGTTCCACCGAAGGTATTTGGGTGCACTTGCTTTGTCAGGGATCATAGGCCGTCTATGGGAAAGTTGGATCCACAAGCAATTAAGTGTATATTTGTGGGTTATTCATCAAGTCAAAAAGGGTATACTTGTTGGTTTCCTACTGAACGAAGGCTCTTTGTTAGTATGGATGTGACATTTCGGGAATCTGAACCTTATTACGGGGAGAAGACTGATCTGAACTCCTTGTTTGAGCTTGGTGATCCAAGCATGAGTGTGGATGATCGAGAAGGAGTGGATGATATGGACATATTACAAGAGAAGGAAGACAATCAATCAAGGGCAACAAAAGCTATCAGCGGACTAATTCCAGTCCATCTGAATAATTCTAATGCGAATGAAAGGCAAGGAAATAGAAATATTGATAACATGGATGCAAGGCGAAAACCAGGCATTGTGCATGTTTATACTAGAAGAAAGAAAACTGCTGATGTGCAGTCTGTGGAGCAGCAAGTTGAGCAACCACAAATGGTGGAACAACAACATTCTTCAGCTGGTGATGTTGAAATTGGTGATGATGAGGTTGAGCAGTCTATTGAAACAGGGGGAGAAGAAGTCGACCTTTCCATTGGTTTGCCTATTGCTCTAAGAAAGGAAGCAAGGAGTACCGCTGGGAAACCTCCAGCAAGGTATGGCTTTGAGCACGACATAAGTAATTATGTCTCATATGAATCATTGTCTCCTGCATATAGAGCATTCCTTGCTTCATTACAATCTGCATATATTCCTAGAGATTGGAGAGAAGCAAAACAGGATCCCAAGTGGCGTGAGGCCATGATGGAGGAGCTTATAAGCCTTGAAAAGAATAAAACTTTGGACCTTGTGAAACTACCTGCAGGAAAGAAAGCTGTAAGTTGTAAATGGGTGTTCACTGTGAAGCGAACTCCTGATGGTAAGGTTGAAAGATACAAAGCTTGACCTGTTGCAAGGGGTTATAGCCAAACATATGGCATTGATTATGATGAGACATTTGCCCCGGTGGCAAAGATGAGTACGGTGAGAACTTTGATCTCTTGTGTGGCGAATTTTGGGTGGCCCTTGCATCAATTAGACGTAAAAAATGCTTTCTTGCATGGTGATCTCAAAGAGGAGGTGTACATGGAGGTTCCACCTGGTTATTCTAAGCCCGAGATGGTTGGAAAGGTATGTAGGCTAAAGAAGTCTTTATATGGCCTCAAGCAATCTCCACGGGCATGGTTTGATAGGTTTAGACGTGCCTTATGTGCAATGGGATACAAACAATGCAATGGAGATCATACCATATTTTATAAACATTTTGGGCGCAAGATCACTGTGTTGGCTGTATATGTGGATGATATCATTATTACTGGTGATGATGAAGTAGAGATCAAATGTCTCAAGGGGAATCTAAGTAGGGAGTTCGAGGTCAAGGACCTTGGTCAACTTAAATATTTTCTTGGTATTGAGATTGCACGAAATCCAAAGGGTATTGTTCTATCGCAAAGAAAGTATGTTATGGACTTACTTAGTGAAACTGGCATGCTTGGATGTCGTCCTGTATCAACACCGATTGATTCCAATCATAAGTTATGTGCTGAATCAGGTAACCCGGTGAACAAAGAAAGGTACCAGAGGCTTGTTGGATGATTGATATATTTATGTCATACAAGGCCTGACATTTCTTATGCTGTGAGTGTTGTGAGTAGATATATGCATGATCCTAGGAGTGGACGTTTGGATGTGGTATATCGAATTTTACGCTATTTGAAGAGTTGTCCTGGAAAAGGACTTTGCTTCAGGAGTCATGGTCATTTGAATGTGGATGGTTATTGTGATGCCGATTGGGCTAGTTGCCTTGATGATAGAAGATCTACATCAGGATATTGTGTCTTTGTTGGGGGGAACTTGGTGTCTTGGAGGAGCAAGAAGCAAGCTGTTGTATCGCGTTCAACAGCGGAAGCAGAGTATAGAGCTATGTCTCTTCTTGTTTGTGAGATGTTGTGGATAAGGAGTCTCTTATCAGAGTTAAATGTACTAAGAAAAGGTGCTTCGAAGCTTTGGTGTGATAATAAGTCAGCTATCAACATTGCCAATAATCCAGTCCAACATGATAGAACTAAGCATGTTGAGGTTGACCGTTTCTTTATCAAGGAGAAGATAGACGAGGGTACACTAGAGTTGAGTCATGTAATTTTGAGAGAACAATTAGCTGATTGTCTAACAAAGGGTTTGGGTGTAAAAGAGTGTGAGTTAGCATGTAGCAAGATGGGGATGATAGATAGATATCACCCATCTTGAGGGGGAGTGTTGGGCTGTCTATAGTTTCCCATGGGCCTAGAGCCCACTATGTATGTTGGTGTATATGTATATTATTATGTGAAAAAGGAAAGACAGAGAGAGTTCAAGAGTTCCCAAAAGCTTCATTGTTCTACAACCATTCTAGATGGTCCACATTTATTTGCCAGCTCATTGAGATTCATCCACAACCCCATAATTAGGCAGACAAAAAAAAACTGTCAGCTCGACTGATTGTGCCTATAATGCCTTCAAAACTGGTGAGGGGACAGAGTGCAAAATTCATTTATGCAGCTGAAATTTTACTGTGCTAACCATATGTTGCAATGAGTAAATCAATAGATTTGATGAATGTCAGTCCTACAATTATTTTGCATTCATAATTAATAATATGGTCGACAAAAGATAGATCTACGTGCAGAGAAGGTATGTCCATAGTCATGATCAAACAATAGACAAAAGACTGTAAAATAAAATACATAAATAAGTAAACAAAATTATGGAGCCCATTGTATTCTTACCGAGCCAATTGCATATAAGGTCATACTCCCCAGCATATATAAGCACGTTAATCCCATCCTCAAGTAGAGCTGGGATGCCGACTTCCAAATTCCTCATCCAGTCTGTGAGCATTGCTTCATAAACCGTAGTACTGCAAGACACAAAATCAATGTCACCAACTCCAAGTGCCTCTTTGACGGCTTTGTCACCAAAGAATTTCTCCAGGTTTGAGAAGTCATAGCAAAGTTCCCCTTCACATTCCTTCCTCACGTCATAGTACTGCAAAGAGGCCATTGTTGTGTAAGGTTTCTCCACCTTAGTCAACAGCAACACAGGTTCATATAGCAAGGCATTGTTTACTCACATTCTTTGTCCCAACAAGCTTCATGATGGAGTTGAAAATATTATTGCAGACCATATAAGCTGCCATGCATGATGCTTTCCCATCAGTACCTGCATTAGCAGAGGATAGTACTTAGGATGTGTCATTTTAACATGGAGTGATCCTCAGGATGTGTCATTTTAACATGTGATCATTTTAACATGGAGTGATCCTCAGGATGTGTCATTCTAATGGAACTTTTAAGTACTACATTAATCCTCTTCTGCTATACTCAGAAACGACACCATATGTTGACGTAAAAGTTTTTCAGGCAACCAGAAAATAATGTCCATATCTTGATTTAATGATGATTACTATAAAATAAAATTGTGTGGTGTTCTCAAAGTTCCGTTGTAGTACAAGTACTCACCACACATCTTGATTGCAAATTCACATGGTGGGATGAACCTATTGATCCTTTCATAGTCAGATTTCTCGATAAGGTTCATTTCCAGTGCATAGTCTGTGTAGGCTTTGTATTGGATTTCTGGATCCGTGAGACCATTACCAATAGCAAATCCCTAGAATAAGATTAGTTAAGAATCGCAAAAGTTAAAAAGGGGGAACTGAGAATCGAAGAGGGTTGAAAAACTTATGCAAAGAGGCTAATACTTGTACCTTCAAGTTTATATGAATGCCCTCATTTGCTTTGTTTCCTTGGTGAACTCTGCTTGCAAATGCTGGAATGTAGTGCCCAGCATAAGATTCTCCAGTTATATAGAAGTCATTCTTTGCAAATTCTGGGTGCTTCTTAAAGAACACCTGACATGGCAGTTTAGAGCAATTAAATAAATAACATCCATGAGGCCATGACTCTTTTGTTTTACTACAGGAATCCTCCCTTCCATTTGGTGCCGATTGAGATCCAACTTTTATATCACAATAGCAAAGGTGATTCATGATCTTTACTACCTCTAATGAATCTATCCAGCCAAATTTACCATAATCCTTTATACTTTTATGCAAAAAGGTCCTCTCAGCCTTGCTAGCATCTAAGGGCACTAATCAGCACAATGGACATGCTGAAGGGAATAAAAAGCTTAGGCATATATATGCCTCCACTGTTGGTGCCCTAGTAATCTGTACCACAGTGTATGATTTAGCTCTGAATTTTCAATTAGATCCATTTAGCAAGGCCATGGACTGTGGTGTAGCCAAATCCTTGGTTGAGCAGCCAATTTAGACACCATGCAAAGGCCGCATGGAAAAAAGTGGTCAAATTTGAAAATTTTGTGGGATAAGGCTTATTATTAGTAAAAAAGAGGTTTTAAAAATCCCATATGTGATGATTCTTTCATAAAATGATTAAGAGCAGAGTCTCCCTTCTATATTTAAGAAAATGTATAGATATCTTAGTTTCAGCTTCTGTCCTCAACTACTCTTCAAAAATAAACTGACCAAACTTCTATGGTGTGATCACACAGCACATGGAATTAATGCAATAAAAAATAGAGAGAGACCACAACAGCCAGACAGAATTAATACAAAATTAGCACCTGAAGAAAGTCATATAGGTCATTGCTGACACCAGTTTCATCATGACGAGTATCACGATCATCAGAGCTGTAGCTAAAGCCAGTTCCAGTTGGCTGATCAACAAATATGATATTTGAGATCTGCAGACATCAAGTCATATCAGAAACAGAGGACGTCAAGTCAACCTATAGCAATGAAATTGACATGATCTATGTAATTAAAACATAAGGTGGGAGTTGTGCAGTAATAAGAACTTTCTACAACGATATACTGAATTTAGTACAATCTCTTTCCGGAAATAGGGAAACAGCTCTCTAAATAGTTAAGCTGCAGTACTATAGTAAGCATGCTTGCTGCTGCTGGGCTTGTAAGTTGTAACTAAGTAATACCATGGAGCTATTGGAAGTTGATTGATAAAGGGGCCCAATAAGTAGATAAAGATAGCAAACATGGTGAGCTGGTTGCAACCGTTTACCTGAAGTTAGTAAATATAGATAGTAGTAGCAGCAAATATGCCTATTCTGGTTTATGGACAATAAAAGGTTTTCTTCCACAAATGCTAGCAGACAGAAACATTGAAAGTGACCTTATTTTCACTAACGGCTTAACTTGACTATTGCTACTCTAGTCAACATAGGTTGAAGTAGTTAAGGTTTGTCATTTTCCTCTTAAAAAATTGATTGCAAGCAAAACTGGAATGTTCAGTTAGAGACTTGTTACTGTAAGTGACAGAGTTTATTTCCCCTGACGAGACAAGGGATCATAAAAGAGGTAGGGTTCGATTACTTACTGTGTCCCAACCGAATTTGTTCCAAACAAGCGACATGTTGTTGGCAATGGTGAAGGGCCCGTTCTCGTAGAAGACGGCCAACTCGCTGCTGCAGCCGGGCCCTCCGGTGAGCCAGATCACGACGGGGTCCTCCTCCTTGCCCCTCGATTCGAAGAAGAAGTAGAACATCCTGCAGCAATCAAGGCACACAAAGCGCGTCCAATTCAATGTCGCAAAATTGCTCGTTCTTTTTTTTTTATCGTCAACCACACGCAACGCGACTCAACGGGAAAAATCGCGTCTTGTTTGGTCCCATCAAACGCTCTGGACTGCCGTTACAAACGTTGGGACCTCTAATTTGTTTCAAACCAAAGATCCAAGCTTTACAGCACAATCACCTGGCGTCGTGGGTGTGCGGCAGGCGGAAGTAACCGGCGTGGTGGCCGAGGTCCCCGACGCCGTCGGGGACGCCGGGCAGCCTGATGCGGCGCTCCAGGAGCTCCCCGGGCGTCACACTGGGCCCGTCGCCGCCGCCCGCGCCTGGCCCCGCCTCCTTCTCCTTGGGCAGGAGGTTGAGCGCGCGGATGAGCCGCTCCGCCTGCGCCGCCGGGAAGGTGGCGTCGCGGGGCAGGCGGAGGCCGCCTTCTCCGGCGGCCGCCGCCCCCGCCACCACAACGGCAACGGCGGCGAGGCAGAGGAGAACCGGGAGGCGTGAGGATGCCATCGGGGGAGGAGGAGGATGGATGAGTGAGTTCGTGGGGATTGGATGGAATGGAAGTGGAACTGGCAGCGGTTTCTCCTCCGATTTATAGGTAGCGTCCGTCGCGTTGAATTCCGGTGGCGTTTGAAACGGACTAGCACGAGAGGCTTCCTCTCGTCAGGTTTGGTGGTTTCAGTATTCAGGATGGCTTCAGTACTAAACTAAACTAAACCTTGGGCCTGTTTAGTTCGCCCAATTTCCAGAATTTGGCACTATGCAAAAAGAAAATTCTCTGTTACATCAAAACTCAAGCCAGATGTGGTATTTCGAGATTAAAGAATCTTTTACAGTACTAAACTCAATTAGTCAACGTTTGGACAATTATTAACAAATACAAACGAAACGCTACCGTAGCTACTGTGGCTACAGTAACTCTGACGGCGCCGATTCCGCGCCGAACTAAACGAGGGCCTTGCTTGCAAGCAGAGACTAAAGAGATTCCTTTCATTTGTGCCCTTGTGAAG